ACCGCTCGGCCCGCGCTGCACCGGCAGGGAGACGAAAGCAACAGCGTTTAAGCGAGCACTGCTGGGGGAGATGGAGCAGCCGCGCTGCCGACGGTGCGATACTCGCCTTGGACCTTCATGTGCATCGCCTGCTCCTGCCAGCTGCCCTCGGGGCCGCCCGGGATAAACCGCAACTCTCCCGGCTTTTTAGCTTTTCGTGCGGCTCCTTTCGCGCAAAGCGAAGACATGTGCCAAAAATCCCATTGACACGCTGTACCCGCGCGCCTTGCAAGCATGTATGCATCCCTGCACGACGCATAGGAGGCCTGAGGGGGTTGCAGCCTGGACTAAATCTTTTTCTTTCTTTAGATAATACTATTAAGTTTTCTGCCTAATCTTTTTGGGATATCACAATCACCAGAATCACCAGAAATTGCAATTAAAAGGCCCATTGAAAGTGAACAGGCTTACAAATTTATTTTATTTTTTTCTGAGTATGAGTTACTAATGCATCGTGACTTGGTTCTCGGATGTATCTCAAGAAATAAGGTCTGTGATTCTGTGTGACTGTTGGTATGGAAACAAAGACAGTGAAACACTCCTGTGCATTACTCCTTCTCCACAACATAAAGAAACAAAGTAATTGTTTAGGCAATACTTTTTCGTCTCTGAATGAAAGTAATAAAGAGGAGGGAAATGTCACTGGGCACATTTCCACTGACATTATGTAGTGTCTTTCATACCACACACAGAATCATCCCACCCAGCTTTTGTTAAGGAGAAACTAAAACCTGTCACTTTTACTTTTGCATGAGTAAGTACTCAGGGCTATGTTACACCTTGACATACTTCATCCTTTTTTTTTTTTTTTTTCCCCCTCTGACTTAAGAAAATGCAAAATGAAAGACCACAGGATCAAAGACATGATGCATTCTCTACTTCAAACTGTTGACATTCTGAAACTATGATTCAGAATTTGAAATAGAAAAGCTGCTTATAAAAAAATCTACATTCTATAAAAATGTCAATTTTTATGAAATCTCGTCTTTGTTCAGGAAAAATTTCTATCAAAAATGTTCAAACGTGTAGTATGTTGACCTAATGCAGTGCAGTCTTTAGCCCATCACTAGATTTTCTGTAGTTTGTTAACATGAACAAATGTCCTAACGAAAGGGAAGGCAACCTCTAGTATGGGATCAGGGTGTGGGCCGAGCCCACTGGAGGACTGAGATCCCAGGGCGCAGGCCCTAGAGCACCCCTCTCCTCTGCTCATCCACCACCACCTGTTCTCAACCCTCTCCAGCCTGGCATAGCCTACCCTGGGGCAATGTTTTATCTTTAGTCTTTCCTGCACTGAAAAAGTCACAATGAAAATGGTGGTTTCACCAGTGGGATTAATGACGGTGTGGTGCAACCCCAGAGTGCCAGTACCAGAAAGGTAATGTTCTCCTAAGGGGAGAGAGAGTCGCTCAGGCTGAGGAGTCTACGTAGAGAGCCTGCTCACCCAAAACAATCTCTTTAGTCCATGGAAAAGGGCAGGTATTAATTCAGCCCACCTAAAACCTGGAACAACCAAGCTTCTAACTCCAGTATGTCAGTAAACATCCAAAACTTACTTGGGATAGTTTTTTCTTCAGTAAGAATTTCAGAGCCTGTCACTGGGTGATGCTACTTTTGCTTCTCTTACAGTTTTCCTATGACTTTATGCTTCTCCACTTTTTTTTTTTTCCTTTCTGCAACGTCAAATCTCAGAATTCTATGGTAATTAAAAATGGAAAAGATGTACTAGATAAATAATTTAGAATATAAAACAAACAGATGTGGCGCTCTAGGAACAGCACAATAACATACAATCACTATGGCTTTAGGAAAAATTTGAGTGGTATAAATTCACTAAAAAGAGTTGTTTTTCTGCTACTCTTTCATAAAAATAGTTTTACCTGGATTTGAAAAGTACAATCCTAAGCTATTTCTCTTGATGAGAGATGCTGTGTAAATCTCCCTGCTTTATAAGCATCATACAGTATCCTAAAACATTTCCATTAAAGGAAGGAAATTGGCAGAGGTGCTCATTCAAGTGTAAGAGCTAGAACCTCTTTTAATGGTCTTGCTCGCTTTTCTCCATCTTCCTTTTAACTGACTAATTTTAGTCAAGTACTGTCTCGTTTGAAAGAATAAATCAGGAACATTAAAGTATATAAGAACTACAATGAAAGTAAGTATTTATGCACTTTGGATTATTAATTTATATTCACCTTTCAATGGCCAAACATGTTTAATCTTTTCTTTTGCAGTATGTCCCAATGGAGTCAAGTCCAACAACTGGAAATAAAGTTTTTGGAGCAGGTAGACCAGTTCTATGATGATAACTTCCCCATGGAAATCCGGCACCTACTAGCACAATGGATAGAAAGCCAAGATTGGTAGGATTAAATTTATTCCCTCTCATATGATTTCAGTCATGAACAATTCTTTCGTTATCTGGCAGATTTTAGGGTGCTCTTTTGTGAACTGTGGGGGCACACTGCAAAAATAGTATTCCACTACTTATGAATTTAGCCCATTGAACTGCCAAAATTTAAAGAAATGTCTGGAGGTGAGGTTTCATTTGAACTTAAACAAAATCCCATTAAAATGGTCTAACAAATTAATGGTATTAAACATTTTTCATAGAAAAAAAATGCAAATTGGGTTTCATTGGATGTATTATACATTTACCTCTTGCAGCATAAAATTTTTCACTTGTCCCATACTGCACTTAAAGCTATCTGGATATATAATTTTGGGGAACAAGCCAGCTATTTGCAGGAACTGTTCTCTAGAAGGTGAATTTATGCACAAATTTGGATCGAGTTCACTGGATAGTTATCATAAGAAAATTCAGAAATAAATGCCAAAAAAAAGTTTATATGAGTCATACCAGGAAGAGACGTCTCCATTTTTCAAGATAAATCTGCAAGACTATTGGAGGACTATTGTAAAACAAACAAAAAAATCTGCTAAGGAATAGAATCTTTCCTTTACAGCTCAGTGGTTTATGGGGCTGTAGAAACATGGGAAGCATTAAAATCTCCTTTTCACCAGACTTAGCAGGGCAGATGTGGGGGAGCAAGGAGAGAAAATATCCCAAGGACAAGGATGCAATGCAGTCCAAAGTCTATCTTCCTGCATTTTGCTTGCTAATATTATTGTCCTTCATGTACCAAGCTGTTCCATAAACAGCAGAACCAGTAAAGCCTGTTTTTGTGTGTGTTTGCATCCTTTGTCCCCTACATACCCTTCACCAGTAGCTTCAGAGTCTTCCTGTATCCCCAAATAGTTTGGCCAGGAGAAGGCTCATCTGGTGCCTGGGGTGAAGATACATATCTGCTGACTGGCCATCTGGCTGTTACCTCCTGGAGCAAGTTATTACTGCCATTTTCCTCAGTGGAGGCACTAATTTAGATTCCTCCCCTCTACCAACTTGCCAGTTTTCTGTGAAATTTGTAAGAACATACTATCTTCTGGACTTTGAGCCCCCTGTCTGCAACTGGGCAGCAAATTCAGAAATTTTATCTATGTAACTGACAGAGAGGGACGTAAGCTCCATTTCCTCTGAGAAGTGGGCTAAAAATATTTAAATATTCACTGCACCAGAGGCTAGAAAACCCTGGTTGTCTCCCCTCAGGCTGCCTCCATAGCCTGTGCTAACATCCTCACCCTGTCTTTGTAGCAGCATATCTATGTGAAAATAAATAAAGGGATCATAAAAACAGTTACTCACAAACCTCTAACTATATGCAAGTCACCATATATTTAAAGCCCTTTTTTGCTCCCTAGATTTCTGAATGGATTATAATTTTCTGTGCAGATTGTCACTTTTTACGACATTTTAAACATGCGTGGTTCTCATTCATTGATTCTTTAGGGAGGCTGCATCTAACAATGAAGCAATGGCAACGATCCTTTTACAGAATTTGCTAATACAAGTGGATGAACAGCTGGACCGAGTTTCGCAGGAGAAGAATCTTCTCTTGATACACAACCTGAAAAGAATCAGGAAGTTGCTACAGGTGGGTGGTTACTTCAGATGACAAATTGGATACTATTACTGGTTCCTAAAGTAGTGCCTAGCCTGTTGAACGCAGCTTGTTCCTGCGCACATCTCAGAGCTGTCCTGGTTGCTGTAGACTCCAAGCAGCTATGGGAGGACCAAGCCTTCAACAAGATAATTGAGAATAATAATTCCACTGTCAGTTACTCTGCGGAACAGCAAATCACATTCTAATACACACTGCTCAGATACAAGTGCCATGACTTCTTAGTTCTGTGTGTATCTGAGTTGCACTGAGCTCTTAAAAATAAGATTGTATAGTGCTTATAGAGGTTCATGTTTATTACAACTGTAATTACCACCTTTCAGACACATACAGGTATTTAACTGTGGAATAAAAATGCATAATTGGGGCTTAAAGCAGCACCCTGAAAAAGGAACCCCTGTAAATCATTAGCATACTTGCTATTTTATGCTTAGCTTGGATTATTTGTTATGAATGGCTTAAAGGATTTTCCGTTAGGCTTCTGCAAAATGATATTTATTTTGATTGGCTGAATGTCTCTCTAATAATTGTTTATCTAAGGCAAGGATTCTCAGAGTTCCACTTCATTAGTCACCTACTTCCTGACATCTATCTGTCTTCTGCATAAAACAGATATACATCTGAGTTTATATGAAAGTTTGGGGGTTTTTCCTTTTCTTTGATGGTGTTTTCCATGAGTAAATGACAAATATATTGCTTGCAAAGCGTGTTCTTTTTTCAACATATATATATATGTATACACACGCTGGTCTGGAAAATCTTAGCATGACCTAGCCAATTATTTTGTTCTCTTTACGGCTGTGTGTCTTTCTGTGCTTTATCCCTAATGGTGGCCTCTTAAAAAGGTGACGGTATTTCCATCACTACTACTTTTTCTTCCGGTGTTATGCAAGAAGTCTCATGTAACTTGATGGTGCTTTTTGTTTCTTTTCTGGTTTGCGTAGCAGCACTATCCATAATTTCGGTATTGCTCAAACACCAAATTTACTTAACTGCTTATGGAGTTAACAACAGAAGAGTTAATCCTGTCGTAGTCTTGGCAGACTTTGCCACAGTAGGGCTGAGACAGAGCCATATCCCCTTCCTAAAGGAATTCTCCCACAGTAACATACACATGGAAAGAGCACTTTAGGGCACTGAAACAAGCAGTTGCATTGCTGTATTCTTGGCTTAAAAGATAGTTCATTTTTTATTATACTATCACAATGTGCACATGGAGAAGGACTGGTACAGGCTCTACAAAATTAAAGTCTCCCACTGTTCCTTCTCTTCAGACCATTTCTTTTATTCTAAAATTTTTACCAAAACTTGAAGTGGCAGCTCTGCATGCTCTGTGAAATTTGGCATACTGAGACAAGTAATCAGGCCTTGGGCACACACGCATGACTTTACATAACAGCCAGTGTGAAAACAGCCAGAACGAAAATAATTTTCTTTAAATCCTGGTGTGTTTGGAAATTATGTTATGATGTGCTTCCTGAAGAGCACAAAGCAAAGGAGGCTTATTCCAGAAAAGACAGAGAAGGGCAGTTTAAAGTGAGTTCTGATTAAGTGGTTTTTCAGGTAGCAAGGATCTGAATCACAATTCCAGAACAAGCCAAAATGCTCAGGCATCCCCATGACATCTGTACAGCTGGGTTATGGTCACCATATAGTAGTTACAGCAACAGCAGAGCCAGCACCAGAGCTGGTCTTTTCCTTCTCTAGATAAAGCCACAGTAAAGGTCCATGTGGAGTAGCCTAAATCATCATTTCACTTGATTGCTGGCTCTGAAAAGAAACGCCACACTGCAACATGCACCAACTTGTTTTCTCTATCATCCTGTAGCACTGTAAGGCCCTGATGTAGCAAGCTTCCTCAAGCAGCAAGGTCTCTCTGCTCCCTTGGGGTGCAGAAATCTGCAGTCTAAACCATTATGAACTTCTTGAGAGGACACGTGTGATGCTGGAATTATAGCACTTCTTAAAAAGGATCTCAGTCTTGAGCTTTGCAGTAAAATGTTTCCAGCTGAGGAAAAAAATAAAACTACTCTCTCTGTCACTAATAATGCTGGCCTTTGATAACCTGTATTTAGATAAAAAGCCACTAATTTGGTTTCAAAATACACATGCGAACCAACAGACACTTTCACTATTAGAGCTCTTCCTGATTTCTTATGACCTATCACCCATAGACTATTCTGATTTCTAAAATAATTTCTAGAGGCTGGAGTAGGACCAGACTCTTGCAGTGGGGTTTTGGTTGTTGTTGTTGTTGTTGTTATTATTATTATTATTATTATGGATAAGGCAAATAACTTAAACTATATCTTAAGAAATCTGTGACAGGTATTTTTGATTTTTGTGTAAAATGTTACAACTTCTAATTTTTACAACCTAGATAAATGCATTTTCAGCCAAAGTATGAGCTGCATGTTCTGTGGAGCTGCACAAGCAGTGTCCTGAGCTTCAGCTGTTAAAATTATTTTTTTATTGGTTAGGTAAGTACATCAGGAAAAAATGCTATAGTAATCAGCTGACATCCTATGCTTGTTATTAACTGTCAAGTATTATTAATGGACTATGAACTACATGACACCGCATGGATAGCATTCTGCTGTAACATCCTTAAATTTGAGTACACAAATCATGTAATTGTGGGTCTAATTTTTTTAAGGCATCACTGATGGTATTTTATTGCTGAATATATGAGAAGTTTGGAACTGGGCATTTGGATCCCCACCCACAGCTGGATGCACTTGCAGATATCAAACTCTTGCAATTTGAGCTGGTTTGTGACCAGTTGTGACTCAGTTCCCTGAGACAGCACCAGAAAAGGGTGACTGATGTACACAGTACAGTGCCATGGTCCCTTTTGTCCCAACATACCACCTAGAGAAAGGGAGATGGGAAGGGTACACTGTAAAACGAGCAAGATTTTTCACTGACTGTGATGGAGGAAAGACAGAGTTCCTAAATAGGAGAGGAAGCTGCATTTGTAAATATCTTTTAACTTCTGGTGACTCTGCGAACAGTGCTGGTTTGATTTTCTCTAAAGATTAGTTACCAAGAGCCCACCTTTATCTCTGCTTTGCTCTCTAGTGCGAGCACTTTGAAATTTTACAGTTCACTCCTCTTCCTTCCCTCTATACCACACGCACACACACACAGAGCTGTTCAATATGTGATCTGAGTGCAGCATTGTTCATTATTTTGAGCCAAATTATGTTGCAATATTAAGTAATATTTCAAACTAGATAATGCTGGAAACCACCATTTATCACAAAGTATGTGGGGTAGTATGTTGAGCTGTGGTATAGGTTCCCAAGTACTATGACAACCGCAATAGTAAAATAATTAAAATTAGAGAACACACAGGAACCATTCAAGAGCAATCTGTAGTTCTTGACAAAAGACAAAATGAGGGATTAATGTTTGATTAGAAATACAACTAGATCGTTACTGAAGAGCAGCTTTAGAAGAGGAATCAATGCACACTTCACAAAGGGCTTGTGCAGCTGTCTGCTAGACAGCAAATGAGACTCGTTAGGGTCAAGATTCCTGGTGCTGTCACTGAATCTAGAGGGGATTATGCCTATGAGTTACTAGCACCACAGCCAAGCACACCCCATCTGAAAGATCTCCCTGACATTCATTTTTGTTATAAAATGGAGAAAACATTTTATTCTGAGCTGCACCTGAAACATCTTTATGTAAACATCTTAGTTGCTCCATGAAGATAACATGGCGGTAGTGGAAAAAGTGACACCTTGCTGCCTCACACTTGCAATACAAAGCTGTGGGCAATCTTAGGCACTGTGAAGGGCAAAGAGCAGAAGTTTTAGAAGGAAGATGGGTCTGCCTGGCACCCTTGCTTTTAGGCCACAAGAACCATCCCTATTCTCTCACCATTAGAGAAATAACTATGAATGTGGCATTTCTGCTCAGACTGCTGACATTTCCAAAATGGTCTTGAGGCAAAAAGAAACATTGACCAGGAAGCATGCAATTTGACAAAGTTATAAGCACTTGAAAATAGTGCTGAGAAACTTAGCTAAGCAGCTGAGGTTACTGCTAGCTCTCAGTAATTTGCTTTTCTATATATTTCTTGTTTTCATTGAAACACCGCTTCTTGACATTAAGCTGGTATAAATGCATGTATTATATTAAAAGCAGGGTCAGCATTTTAGGTTAAAATCCTTCATATTTGCTTCTTACATTATTATTACTTCTCTAGTCAGTAAATTGGATTCATTTTTATAGCAGAACAGCCTTTTGTTGCTGTGCTTTTCAGTGGGAGTGCAGTCACTCGCTAAGGTTAAATTCTCTGTCCAGTCTTCCTACAGAACTGCTGCTCCCGCCAGCTGCAGCTCTGGAAAAGGATGAGGAGAGAAAATGTTTGGAGACAGTGGGAGAGAGAGAGGGGAAACTATGTCTATGGTTCGTTTTCCTGCTTAAAACCTAGATGGAGAAAAGCAAAGCAGATTAGTCACAAGGAGATGGTTTGCACTGTTGCCAAGACAACAAAACATAAAGGGCAGATGTTAAGCTCAGAACTGCCTAGCACTTCTAGGAATCAAATTGCAGATGCGACAGTCTACATGACTTTAGCCCATGAACAATTACATCTCAGTTTTCAGAGTAGTTTTTAAATGACAGGGTACCTGTCCCTGATGTAAGCTCCTGTGCAATACATGAGTAGATTTAGTACACAAAGATGACTGGTGAAATACAGAGACGCTCATGTAAGACAGGCATTGTGCATGTTCCTGACTCACATGCCAAAACTTGTGGCTAGGGGAGAGCAGCTGGGCTGCAGTGCAGCAGGGGAGCCAAGGCAGGGGAGGCTCAGAGTAGGCTGGGGATTAGAGATGGCCACCATACCCCAGTGTCCCACTGCTCCATTTAGGAATGGTGCTGGTGGGTGACTGCCCATCGGTCTCCAAGTAATCCAGTGATGCTCATCTCAGGGATGTTCTTCCCCCCACACTCCA